ACATGTTGAAAATGAAACAGCATTTCTATTAATCCATTTTAATTAGGATTATGGAACACAATCGCTTCCATAGTAAAGTGGCTGCTGCCTCAGGGCAGGATCCGACTGTCCCACCTCCCTGCTTCATCGACTCATCGGGTTGTTTCAGCATCCCTAGAGGGGAGGAAGCTGCAGCGTCACAGACCCCTACGTCAGCTGCAGCGTCAGAACCTACTACATCAGTAGCTGCTACTGAGGGGCTTACTTCGGCCAATGCTGTGTCTGAGTATCCAGCTTCATATCATAATCATCATCATCATCATCATCATCACCTTCGTCTGATCCAGCTCCATCTTCATCGCCTTCATCTGATCCAGCTTCATCATCATCATCTTCATCTCATCATTCATCATCATCATCAGGTCTTTCATCATCATCTTTGTCTGGTCCTGTATCATCTTCGTCTGGTCCTTTATCATCTTCGTCTGGTCCTGTATCATCTTCATTGTCAGAGACCCAGCCTTCAGAGATCTAGTCTTCAGAGACCCAGCCTTCAAAGTATCCAGAGTATGCAGATTCTGCGTCCTAAGGACCTAAGGGCATCACAAGCTCTTACAGCTCCAGGGTGATCACTTTGGATGGGTTTTTTCCTCCCCCCCATTATTCTGAGAAGGAGGCAGTCTCTCATCTGCTGTGCCCTGTGTGTGCGCTCTCATGTTATGTGACGTGCACAGCACAGATAAGGTGCTTTCAGTGCTTGTTTGTCCATTACAGAGAGCAGTCTGCAGGACAGCCTTTGTCTTCCCAGAGGCTGTCACATTGGATGTGCGAGGCTGTTCACAGGCTTACATCTCATCAGCAGCCTCCAGCTGTACTGTCAGCTCATTCCACAAGGGGTATCTTACTCCACAGCTCTGTACAGTGGAATGTCAATCCAGGATATCTGCTCTGCTGCGTCCTGATCATCCCCTTGTCCCTTCATCCGCTTTTATCTGCGGGATGTTTCGGGCTCCTCTCTGACTCACTCTGTTCTCAGGACCTTGTCAGAGTAGTATATTTTGTCAAAAATCATTGAACAAAACAATGACTTCTGTGCTTGGAGTGAGACTGCACACACAGTGCCTTTGTCTCTCCTTCACATCATTGGGATCATGTGATGGACACGGGGCTTACACAAATCTGTTCACTGTGTGAATCAGCTGTTGTCACTGCCCCCTGCTTGTGCAACATCACAAGGGTTTTGGGCAGAAGCTTAACGAGTCTGTCAAGCCAGTAAGGCGCAGACTACATCAGGCTCCACCCCTATACCCATCAGCAATAGCCTTAGAGGGCGGAGCTTACTTGAAATAGAATGTTGTTTACGTATTGTAACCCCAGATTCTACGAGTGTAAGAGAAGACCTCTAAGAATAGGGGCCTCACTGGCTTCCGTAGCAGAAGAAAAGTAAGCTATCGGGAGCAGAGCACCGGTCCGGCCGGCTTGTATGAGGACCGGAGGTGGGGCCCACGGTACGTGGGCGTAGACTATTGGTTCTTCAAAATGTGCGTGAGCGTGAGGGATACCCATAGCCTTAGAGGGCTGCGCTTACACTCATAGAATCTGGGGATACAATACGTAACCAACGTTCTTCTTCCATGAAGCTGCTCTGTTGTCCTCCATCCATATTTTCACTTACAAGTTCAGTCATTTCTACCTTCTCCTCTTTGTCAACGCTCTCTGGTTTAATTTAAAAGAGCCAATCGTCAGATATTGTCCAAGATTAACCTTCAGGGTGGATATAGCTCGCTAGCAGCCTTGCACCGATGCCCTATCCATGTCATCATTTACCCAGAATGCTTTGCGTGCAAATAAAGTGGCCCCATCTGTGTAATATATTTTTAAACTTTTAGTTTAAAAATGATAAAAACTTAACATCCTACAGTATTTTTACAGTATTTGTTTTACAGTTAAAATACTGTATATGTTTATCAAATAATGTCTAATGTTTCAACTAATCATGGATCCCTTTAACAAATTTATCTCTTTTAGTGTTAGTATTGTTAAATTCCTAGAACTTAAAGGAACATACGTAAATAGCCAATTATACAGAGACAGGTTGCATACTCCTATGACGTGCCAGCTAATCAAATTTTGGAACAACCGTCTCATTTTCTCCCAGTAGCCCTTACATTTACCTGTTGGATGAAAGTTACCTGGGTCACAAATCATTTCTTTCTTAACATCATGTAATGTTTTTGCCTTCAAATGAAAATATTTTATTATAGCATACTAAAAATAAGACTAAATATGTATTAAGTTTTAAAAGAAATGACTACCTCTATAGACAAACATTTAAATTGCAACATTAATCTTAATTTACTGTGATTCTAAATTGTATATTACAACTTCTGAAGAGCAGAAAATAAAACAAAATGTAACCAAAAACAAAATATTAATATAACTGGAAAGTTATGTTATACTAAGAATGCTTTTGTTATTTATGGTAAAATATAACTGCTTTNATATATATGTACAACACATTGAATTTATTGAGTACATATGTACTCAATAAATTCAATGTGTTTTCTTAAGTAGTTGCCTGCTTTCCTTTTTTCAATCAAGTTTTTGGATCTGACAATGGTTTTTTAAAGTTTATTGTTGGAATAAATATAATTTTTGAGTGCTTTCAATCAAAATTGCAGTTGCTCCAATAAAAAATGATTTGGTAATTATTTATTAATGCAGACACTAAAACGTACAGCCTTTTTATTAACAGGATTATGTAAAACAAGTTTGGTTAAACTCAAAACAAACACTTATGAAGGACCACAAATGAGATATTAGACAGTTTTTTTTCAATATTTAATAAACGAATATAAGTCCAAGTGTAGAAGCTGTGCGTGAAAAAAAAAACATTTACACCACAAAAATTGGTAGGTTGAAGAGCAACTTTTAGCAAAAATAACTAAAAGTAACAATCTTACAATGGTCTCATCAGTCATTTAAATTGATCTTTTTCCAAATTTTTTAATGTTGCTCTACTTTATTTTGAAATATGAGCATTTGGAATGTTTAGGCACAGATATCCAAAGGTCCTTCCAAAACAATTCAGTTGAAAAAGGTATTAGAATTTCTTCCCATCATGTGATTTTTAGTATTCTTTTCTGGCTTCATAAGTAGAATGTAACATTTTGGAGCAAAAATACTGATAAGTAGCCCAAAACTTGAGGCCAGCATGGCAAATATCTCTACAGCTACAGTAAACTTTCCAGGAGAGCTGACATATGCTGGGATAAATGTGAGCCACACTGCACTAAATATTACCATGCTAAAAGTGATAAARTTGGCTTCATTAAAATTATCGGGAAGCTTTCGAGACAYAAARGCAAGGATTAGACATAGCACAGCCAGTAGGCCGATATAACCCAGAACAACCCAAAACGCTACTGGTGAACCCAAATCACACTCTAGAATAATCATTTCAGTAGAATGAGCTGTATTTCTGTGTGGAATTGGTGGAGCATAAGCCAACCACAGCACACAAACTAACACCTGAATTAAAGTACAGCTTAGAACACTTGTTCTCTGAAGAGGAGCAGAACACTGAGGAACTGTGCTTGCTGGTCCATTAGCTTTAAAGGCTACCACCACTGTTATAGTTTTTGCCAAAATACATGATATGGACAATGCAAATGTTGTGCCAAAAGCTGTGTGGCGCAGCATGCAGGACCACTCAGTCGGCTGGCCAATGAAAGTGAGAGAACACAGGAAACACAGAGCCAAGGAGAACAGCAGCAGGAAGCTCAGCTCAGAGTTACTGGCTTTGACAAGAGGAGTGTGACGAAATCGAATAAACACAAATAGAACCACCAAAGTTAAACTTGCACCCAGCAGTGAGAAAGCAGTGAGAAGAGCTCCCATAGTGTCTCCATATGAAAGGAACTCGATCATCTTTGGAACACACTTGCTGTGATCATCATTTGACCAGAAGTCCGGTGGACATCGTGAACATTCTGCAGAATCTGATTAGGAAACATAAAATACGCTCATGATAGTAATTGAGTCATTTGCTTGTTTGATTCCTGACACATTTTTTGCATTTTCACAATGCAATGAAGTGAATGGGAGACATTTGAGTTACTTACTGCTGGAGTTGCTGATCTCTCCAGCAGTACAGGGGACACATGAAAAGCAGCAGATAGGTTTGTCTTTAATCATCGCCTGTCGGAAACCTGGAAGGCAARTCTCACTGCAGACAGACAGTGGCCTCTGTAACATACAAAGTTGAACATTCATTTTATTGCAACTTTAACTTTGATTTGATCCCTTTAATTGAACTTTAAGTAATTAAAATAATATGAGAAAAACACTTTGCATTCAATGTTTTTTTTAAAACCAGAATAATAGTTGTGGAGCTTGGTCACATTTTCATACATAATTAGTACAAATTAAATGATGTACAAAAAATGCTTTGAACAGTTTCGATTGTGTCGTTCTCAAGGCTTTAAAAAACCGTGTCATGAATCCTAATAAAAATGAATTCTTTTAATCTTTTTTCCTGTGGTAAAAACAACAAAAACAGAGGAATTTTTTCATTTTAAGTTGAAACTGCCTTTTTTACCTGCAAGGACTCCCCAGCCCATGTTATATTCATCATATTCATAGTAAACTGTTTTCCATTTGGTAATGAAGCATTGTAGTTCCCAAAAGTCATGAACAAAATATCTCCTGCTGAATTTCTCTGCCAGTTCACAAGCTCATATGTTGCAGAAGGGTCTCCGTTTTCATCAAAATACACTCTCTCCCCTGATTGAAGAGAAAAATTAACATCCTGGAGATGTTTCACAACCTGTCAGTTAAGACCAATAAGTTTGTTCTTAAAGAAAGTGTTTTTGTTTATAAAATGAAGTTATACACTTCATATAAGTTATCTCTTACCTGTCTTGGCTCAAAAGGATCAATCAAAATACATGAGTGATTCACTGCCTCTCCACTTTGGCCACATTTAAACATGGCATGCATAGCATGAGCAACAGCATGCACAGCTTTATACACATTGTTGGATATTCTCAGCTCTGACACATCTGTGAAAGCATTGTTTGCATCCTGAAGTCTCTCAAAGCCAGAGCATTGCTCTGTGCCATGCAGACTGGACTGAAAACTGCAGCCAAAGGTTGTTTCCCAGAATTCTCTCACCAGATTGTTCTGAGGAGCCTGACTTGGGTGAACCTGTAAAAGAAATTCTCGGAGGCCTTTGATTTTAGCCTTTTTAATGGCAAAACCCAGTGATCCTATTAGTATACCAGAGAACCTCTTATTAGCCAAATGACTRGATGTTATCCAGGATTCACTGCCCACCCACTGCAGCCCAGTTAAGTTCTGCCGCAGAGCCTCCTCAAGAAGAACATCCATCTCWMCKTYAGCAAGGAAAGCCACTAAAACTCTTGCTGTACCTCTTTGAATCACTCTGATAACCCTCTCCAGCTGCTCTGTAGAACCAGTTCTTGAGATGGCCTCTGAGTACTCAACACAAACCCCCTCCTGACTTGCTACAGTGATAAATGTTGCCATCCCATCATTACCATAGTCATTGTCACTTCTAACTGCACCAACCCAGGTCCATCCAAAGTGCTTTACCAGTTTAGCCAGAGCTCTGCTCTGGTAGTAGTCACTGGGAATGGTTCTGAAGAAGGAGGGGTACTCTTTTCTGTTACTGAGACATGCACATGTTGCAAAGTGGCTGATCTTAAAAAAAGAAAAGGCAGAAACAAGGAAGCATAAACCAATAGCATTAAAGATAAGCACTTTTAAATACTAAAATCTTACCTAAATAAAAAGTATCTGATGTTTAAATAATCTGCAGTGCATGCATTATTTTATTGGTACAATTTAAAAGATGTGTAATACCTTATCAAAGAATCATTATTATTATCATTATTATTTTTTATCCATGCAGTGTCCGATCATATAGACAAAAAATATTTTTTTAATATTTACCACTGGCATTTGCAAAATTGATGAAATTTGTAGCATTGCAATGGTGGTAGAAGACTCAGATGTTCCAATAATGGCATGAACAGATGACTGACCAGAGCAAGTTTTGTCCAAAGTCCTCTCATGTCCATTCATTAGACCCATCACTGTATGTGTTGTAGGTAATGTGGAAGCACAGCTGTCAAATATCTTATAACCAACTGTAATATTTGGCAACAGAGAGCTGCTATTGTTGATTTCCTCAATGGCAAATATCATAGTTTGAGCAAATCGAAATTCTCTCAAATTTATCCTGGAAAAAGAAACAGTTCCTAAATTTAAGCACTTAATTTTTAAGTAGGAAGCTGATATTGAAAACAGAGAAAACCAGTACTTTGAGCACAAGAGAGGTTCTGGCTTGTCTGCTAATGAGAATAAAGGTGTAGAGATTTGGCTGTGAATGGAAAAAGCTCCTCCAATCACGATATTTCCTTTCTTGGACAACAAAGGAAATTCTGGAGTCCCCAGCATCTCACAAAGGATGGTTTCATTCTCAGCTAATGCTCCCAAAAGATTAACAAACATTAAAATTATGTGAATGCAGAAATCCATTTTTAAGGCACACAAACACTCACAACCCTTCAAGATGCAATACTCTATTTGATTTAGAAAAAAATATTGCTCCTCTAAAAAATCAGAGCTTTATAATTTTACATGTGATGATGAGGACTAACATCCTCTAATCAGATCAGTGTGGAGATGACAGGTTCTCTTCATTTACCTATGTCATTCATTACTGTCAGCTACAAATATAAAAAAATTGCACCCCTGCCAGTATATATTGTAGTATTTTCCTGCATAGAAATCATCATCTCTGATCAGATTTCAATTGCTCCTATGACAACAGCTCAGAGGGGGAAAAAAAACCCCAGCTTTGATTCACCCAGACTTCCTGATGCCTTACAGCCAATTGAAAACAATTGCCGCATTCTTGAACCCTCACAAGTTTCGAGTGACCTTAGAAGGACTCTCTGTTCCTCTTCAAAGGGACCATAAATTGCTTTCACCAGACTCTTCAGCTTGACTGGGAACAAAGGAATCTACCATTCTTGATAAAATAAAAAGGACCAGATTCTCGGTTAAATGTGAAAAAGAAAGAAAAGATACAGTGGGGAAAATAAGTATTTAGTCAGTCACCAATTGTGAAAGTTCTCCCACTTAAAAAGATGAGAGAGGCCTGTAATTGACANCTGCTCTGGTAGTAGTCACTGGGAATGGTTCTGAAGAAGGAGGGGTACTCTTTTCTGTTACTGAGACATGCACATGTTGCAAAGTGGCTGATCTTTCAGAAAGAAAAAAAAGAAACAAGAAAACACAAATGACTGTAGAGAACGGAGTTGTATTTAGTTGCAAAACAAAATATGTTCAGCTAAAGACATTCCCTCTGTATATTTTTTGAAGAATATACATTCATCATATAACCTTTACAAAATGATATCACTATAACGAAGATTCTGTGAACAGTTTCCTATAAAATGTCATAAATTTGTCAGAGCAATAGTAGAAAAAAATCAATAGGATGGCATGTATAAGTTTTACCACTGGTATTTGAAAAATCCCGGAAATCTGTAGCATTGCAATTGTCGATGAGGATTCTGAGGCTCCGATGATGACATGAACGGACCTCTGACTTTGACATGGTTTTACCAAGTTCTTCTCTGGTCCGTTTATTAAGTCCATCAATGCCCCCGTTGATGGAAGTATTGAACCACAGCTGTCAAAAATCTTATAACCAATTGTGATATTAGGTAGTAGAGAGCTGCTGTTATTTATCTCCTCAATAGCAAATATCACTGTTTGAGCAAATTGAAATTCTCGTAAATTTATTCTGAAATGGGAAAAAATAAAGAAACCTTTATGACTATTATGTTTTAGGAAGATTATAATGTCAAAACCAAAAACATTCAGTACCTGGAGCATGTCAGAGGTTCGGGTGGTTCAGTCATGGAAAGTGAGGACTTTGATATTTGGCTGTAGATGGAAAAAGCTCCTCCAATAATGACATCTCCTTCCTTAAACAGCAGAGGAAACCCTGGGCTCCCCAGCATCTCACAAAAGACAGGCCCGTCTTCTGCCCCAAAGGCTCCCATAACCACGAACAACAAAATCCCACATTTGTAGTCATGCATGTTTTATAAAATGGATAGACGGATTCACAGATTTGTACGGAGACATCTTGTATCACTGACTAAATGATGTTTCTCTTTTATAAAATTGCATATGATGACTGAGTTTATCTTAACAAATCCCAATGTGATTATAGTGACGTCAGGCTGCTTTGTCATTGCATTTAATATTACATATTCATTTTTTATAAATATTGAGTGTATTTGTTTTTACTGAGTGATGCTCTATCATGCAAAATCTTACTCAGTTTGGTTCATTGTATACATTAAATACACAATCACAAGTATTGTGTATCAGTGCCCTTTGATCTGTGTTAAGATCAGTAACAATCATGGGTACCATGTTCAGTTGTTAGTGCAGGACTAAAGTACAACTGTTACAGTCAGATTTCATGGAAAAGAAACGCTTTAATTGTTTTTTCTGACACTGTATCTCATTTTGGCAGCAGTTTGTGGCCAGGGGCTTAATACTGTTTGCAGGTGGACATAAAAAAATGTTCATAATCATTTTAAAATTTGTTGTATAATGTACGTGTTTGTATTTATGAATATTTCTAGACATATATCACACGGTTTATGGATGATTTTATTGAAAACACTTGCATCTGGACATTATTTCTGCTTTTACGTTATGTAGTTTTCTTTTTATGATTGATTTAGTGACACTTTAGGGAATGGTGTGTTTTATGGTGGACCTGTTTTTAAATGCAATGTAAAACAGCAATGTGCACAATACAAGCTAATTTAACATGTTAAAATATTAAAACATGTCAAGCAGGACATTTATTAGGTAATAGTTAAAAAAGACCACATGTCCACCTGTTGCCCATTTGTCCGTCCATCCATCCATCCATCCATCCATCCATCCATCCATCCATCCATCCATCCATCCATCCATCCATCCATCCATCCATCCATCCAATATCTATGCCCACTTCTTTCCTTTCAAGGTCATGGGGGTCACTGGTGTCCATATCCAGCAGTCACTGTGCGAGGGGAGGGGTACACCCTGGAAAGGTCGCAAGTCCATCACAAGGCTGCCCATTTGTCCCTAGAGCTTATTCAAAGAGTAAATGTGCGAGATGGGTAGAGCCAAGACAGACAGCCAGTTTATCACAGTGAAAACACAGACATACAAGGCAAACAAAAGATACACACCAATTAATTATTATTTTTCTGTACATCTTAAAGTTATTAGGTTTAACTGAATTATGATGGTTTTGTCGAAAGCAGACAGGAAACACAGACAGGATTCCATGCAACCTTCAGGTGAAAATGAAGACACCAAACCCAGACCCAAACCAGTGGATATTCCGTATGTTGCAGGTGTTTCGGAGAAACTGAGACGTTTATTTTCTAAACATGATGTCCCAGTAGCTTTCAAACCCCAAAACATATTACGGCAAAGGCTGGTTCACCCCAAAGATCCGGTGCCCCGGCACAAACAGAGCAATGTTGTGAAGAAATTTATAGTTAGTACTGATTAAATACAACACAGAGTTAGAGTTTTCTACTTTATACCTTTATAATGTTGGTTATATTTTTTACAATGTGTTAATTGACATAGAATAGATACATGTCCGAAAATAACAACACATAATTAAAAGCTGGATTAACATTAGATTGAGAAATATCTGTATGAATGCCTGTGATTCAGCTTTAGGCCAGCAGAGGCGGACTCGGGCATTGAAGCTCCTGTACTTATTGGGCCACTTCCTGTTATGACTTTAGTGTGTGTGGTTTGACTTGCCAGCTCATGGCTGAATAAAACCCTCACTCCAGAATTC